CACGTGACGTAGGGCTCGTCACGGGGGGATTGTTCTCCATGTGTTGATCGCTTCTTAGAGTAGGAGCCATTTAAATGTAAATACACTTAAATGTCAACTTTAGGAAACTAATCAGGAAGTAACGTAAGCACGTAAGTGCCGGGCAAAAGGCCGCGACAGGACTGCGGTGTCTGGCGAGGCTGCTCTTCTCTGCTGCTTTCTGGTGAGCGGCAGGCGTCAAAACGCAAAGTGTGGAGCAGCCTCCACCAGAACACCGCTGTACCGCAAAAGTAGATTAGTATACAAATAGCAAATAAGTCAATACTAAACTCTAGATAAATGCACTCTCGTTTGAGTACACCATCTTGGCAGCGCACAGCCAACGATGTCCTTGTGCATACAGTCCTTGGTATAGTCCTTCGCCATTGCACGCATGTGTACTCAGTGTAGCCGGTTGTAGTGCAGCCGCAAGCTGCACTGCCAGGCGCATGAGTGTCCTTGGGATGTGTCTTTGCAGACACTGGCAGTGGACGGTGGCTCGTAGATGGGGGCACCGGACACTGGCAGACTGCAATGCACTGGCGCTCGACACGCAGGTAAGTTTTATAGCTCACACTCCCACTTGATCTCGGCGACGCACTTGGAAGTCGACGCGATCACACACGCGCATCCTAGTTGCCGCCATAGTCCTAGTAGTAGCGTAGTCGCAGCTCAAAGACAATACCAGTCCACTCAGTAACAGTACTCCCACTCGATCGCCCTCGTCTTCATCAATGTCGCTCAGGTACAGCCTCCGCATCAACAGCAGTAGTCAACGCAGTAGCAGTAGTCGTAGTTGTAGCCATGTCCTCGGATACGTTGTCATCGCTCGACACAATAGGTAAGACTTTCATAGCCTTGCGAAAGTGTGTGAACTTCACCACTGCAAGTGCCTTTGTCATTATATCGGCCACCATATCATCAGTTCCGATGTGTTGGGTTGTAAGTTGCTTCAACTCCACATGGCGTCTGATCATGTGGTACTTGTTATCGATATGTTTCGATTTCGAATGTTTGCCAGGTTTCGCAGTTAAGGCAATGGCTCCTTGATTGTCTCCCAGTAGTTGAGGTACTGGATGCTTCCAGCTCAACTCTTTGCATAGGCCAGCAAGCCAC